ACCGTTTCCGTCGACTATGTATGTATGTCTTTCCAAATGTCCTTCTGGCTGTCAGTTAACATGCCTTTTGCGTTTGCCATGGGGCAATGGTCCTGGTTGGCCATGGCAGCAGGCCCCGCCCGTCTCCGGTCGTCTCTCCTCTCGTCTCGTGGAGAGATAATCACTTTGGGAAATTGCTCATGAATGATTTGTTGGCATAAATCAATTTGATTGATGAGCGTCAATATACTTATATGCCGCTTTGATGTGGGCAATTCCAATACAGCATCCAAACAGACATATCCTACACATAGGGGCAAGTACGAGTACGAGTAGGCGAGTGTGGGTGGTGCGTTTTGTGGGTGGGCTTTGTGCAGGGACCAACTAATTGATCAATTAAACATCAATTGCCTGGCCACGGAGCTGCGGGTCGTCTTCGTTATTCGATTCTTTATAGACATTTTTTCCTCTTGGGCTACTACCCTCATCATCAAGAGAGTGCGGTGCGGTGCGGTGCGGTGGTGCGGCGGGAACCGAGCCCCTGCTCCATTAAGCAAGAAACTGGTGAAAACTTTCTGCTATTTCAACTTGAGTTGTTATGACACTTTTAATAACTTTATTATTGCATTTACATAGTAGCAAGACACGCCAAGAAGCAGCACCAGCAACTTGCCCTGGTTAAGTGTGGCGCTGCGACTCCTGGGCTGCCTCCTAGCCCCCTTGCCACGGTGCCACCTTTTTCCACCCTGCATATGCTGCGAGTTGCTTTTAGGTGAGTGTATGTTTTGGTTATGTGTGTGTGTGTGTGTGTGTGTGTGTGTGTGTGTGTGTGTGGTGGGATGTTTCTTAGCTGTCTACGCAATTAAAAGTTTAATATAATTAAATGGTTTTATGACTTTGACTGTACCGTGCACTCGGGGCACGAGTCGCCTCCCCAAATGCATCCGCACGGAGACATGTTTTTTGAAGTCGCATCTTAAGACCCTGTCTGGTAAACACGTGCACTTTAAAATCCCCCCAAAGCAAATAACAAGCTGATGGCGAAAACTGGAGCAAGCGCTCCCCATAGCTCGCCTTGCCCTCCTCGCTCCCGTCAAAGTGATTAAGCCATCAAAGTTTGCTTTCGACACGCAGCATTAACGCTTCGACTTTCCTTAGCTGTAGCTGTGGACCAAGTGTGGGGCTGTAGGGCTGACTATCATTTCGTCTTCCCGATAATTACTTGGCCAGCGCGAAGTTTCGGGCAGACATCAGCAGAAATTAGCTTGCAGTAGTAGCCAGCAGATGAGAAAAAAGATTTTCTGGTAATGTCGTCGTTCCAGTAGCTGTTCTTGTCGCTACAAATCTCGAGCGACAGCCCGTACGATACTGGGCGTTGCTAATAAATGATGGCAGCGGGCACGCCCCCATTCACATGAGGACATGCGATTGCCTAATTTATTTATGCCCAAGTCATGTGTTCGATGAAGACAGAAATTTGGAAAAGAGTCGGAGGTATAGGAGCCATAGTCTGATTAGTATTTGAATACATTTCTCTAGTATTCATTATAACTTAATCACTGCAATTATTTCAGCATTTAAAGTTTTGTTGAAGCCTTGGCACTGCCCTCGACCAAATATTTCATTCATTTGCATAAACATCTCTAGTTACGGCACAATCCCAAGCCCATACAAAATGGAATTTACCGCAGAATGCAGAAGGCAGAGGGCAGAGGGCAATTCTGTGAACCGATAGCCGGACCCAGTCTGGGTGCCTAAAGCGATTGTCCCATCAGAAAAATGCTCCACAAATCATGCATAATATAAATTAATAGCCATCAACTCTTAAATTTCGGCAACATTTTTAAATCGGGATTCAGCCGAACCGCCTCGGGACCAGGGACAGGGGCAGGGCCAGTGCTCGGGCTTGGGCTTGGGACCGCCACCCGCCGTTTCATGGCAAATTAGTAACTCGTGGGCATTTTAATTGCGTCCAGCAGTAGATGGGGATGGTACGGACGGGAATGGGAATGGGAATGGTGATGGGATGGGACGGTCGGGCAGGCGCAGTTATGTGCGTCAAAAAATAAAATGAATTCATTTGTACCCTTTTCAAAGCCGCATAAAAGAAGGCTAAGACACGGAACGCGGTTACGGGCCCCAAATGACTTAACTCATTTAATGTGGCTCTAATGGGATACAATTTAAATTTAATTGATTTGCCCGACATGCTTTTTATGGCCGCAAGAATTTCTCTAAATTAAAAATGCCTTTTTTCCGTGTGGTTAAGGCGGGCGCGGGCGTGGGCCTTGGCGTGGCCGTTGTGTCCAACGTGTAGGGCAAAAATGTGCGGCGCTCAAAAAGCGGCAAGATTAATTCCTGTTTTGTGCTCTCCATATTGATTAAATATGCAGCGGGCGACGATGGCGTCCCAACGAGTGCCTGACAACACTACTATGTTTTTTTCAGTGGCTCGCTGATTTATTGGTTTAATGCACCCGGCGCAGTCCTGCCACCCGCATAAACAGAGCGCAACAAACCGCAGTGGGCGTTGGGACAACAATGGTTGTGGGGGTACTGGGGGACGAGAGAACCTTTGCTGCCCGCAAACATTTCTTAGCTTGGCAGCTAATTTATGTGCGCACGCGGCAGGAAAATGCTGGCAAAGGATACGCCAGGCAGTGGCAGGAGCCACCAAGGCCGTCCCCCATTTCCCGCATAGTGAGAATTATGTTTCAAGAAGTAGACGGTAGCGATGGAGCTGGGGCCGGGATGGAGAATGGGGCGCAAGTGTCAGCGAGCATAAAAATTCGCATTTTAATATTTGCCAGTAAGCTGCACTGCGTTGGCAGCTGATTTGCCATAGGTCCCGGCCCCTGTCCCGGTCCCGTTCCCGTTCCCTCCACCGTCTATTCGTCTACCTTCTTCCTTGGGCCATCCTGGCCATCTCCCGTCTAGCGACGCTGGTCCCTCCTCCTTTGGCTTGTTTGCTCGCCATTTTATCTGTGCCCAACAGCTGGCGTTTGTTTGCGGTTCCATCGCGCGTTGCGTGTTGACTTTTGTGTCTGAGCCACCTTTCAACTGCAACTAATTTATTTTATTTGCCAGCTGACGATGCCTTCTACTCGCCTTCCGCTTGCTATCCTAAGTCTCATTTACAACTGGCATGTCTCTAAATATGATTCAAAACAAGAATTAGAAAATGTACTGCTGTTGGTGTTGCCGCTGCAATTGACACTAAGTGCTTTGACGTTAAGAGCGTAGAGTGCTTGCCGCCACGGTGCGGGTCCGCATCAGTGCCTTGGACAGGCTGTAAATGAGTTTTGTTATCTGCGAGCCAACAAGCAAAAAATTGCATTAGTCGTGCCACCTGAAGCTGCAACAGGATGGGATGCGACTGGACTGTCGCCGGCTTGTCGGAGTGGTTCTCACGGAGAACGGCGTTACGCCAAGCAGTTGCATACTTAGTCTGCTCTACGGCTGCTGTCTCCCTAACAGTATGAGTATAAGTATCAACGAGTCACTGGTCGCTGGCTTTCGGATTAATTATTGTACAGTTACGCCTTTCCAGGTATCAATAACACTTAGGGAGGGGCGAACCGGGACGTTTCCGCTTCCAAACCAAGCCCGGGATCTTGGCCAAATCTTGTCCAAGCCTCCGGATGGGACTACCCTATCTGCAATAGTTTGCTCTGCACGGTCTAGGCAGTGAGAAGAGGCATACGCCCATGCGGCAACAATTAGTAGGTCCCAGTGAGCTGTGGGAGGTTTCCCCCCTCCCCGGCTACCGACATAACCTAACCTATTGTACAGTTGACGGCATATTTAAATAATCAAAGTCACATTTTACACACATTAAAATTAGGTATGGATACCAGCAATTAAGTATGGAAATCCACCCATAGTTTAATACTCAAGTTAATCCGGACTGCTACGAAAAACCGCTTTGTATTTTCGAGACATATATCTGTGATGAATTTATAACGGATAGTGGGATTTTTTTGTTGAATTTCGTGCTAAATAAAAGCGGAAACCCATGCTCATTCCGTAAAGAAATCGGCCTTGAAATTGGAATTTAATACACCAAAAAGTGATGGGTTTTTTGGAACCCCTGATGACCTCAGATTATGTTGATCTGTTTGCTGGTTCTTTTGGGACAGTTCGCCATAGAATTATGGAAATATTTTTACCAATAGCAATTAAATGTTGCTGAACTTTTGAATGGTTTTGGCTTTCAGTGCTGCTAAATGAGTAAACAAAAACTCAACCCGCTTGCTCCCATTATTTAGCATAATTAAATAGCGCATGGAAAATAAGTAAATTATGGAATGTGAAACGCTCGTAAATTTCCCGCTTATTGCGTTTCGTTTCACATCCGAAAGGTCGTTGAGTGCGTTGACCAAACTGTTGCTCTCGCACTGCTCCTGCTCTCCTACTCCTGCTTCATGCTTTCCTGCTTTCCTTTTCCTGCTGCTGTTGCTGACCTTCTGACTGTTGATTTTATTAAAATCATTTCAGTTTTAATGTTCATTGGACAGGAGCAATAACAGCAAAAAGAACAGCACACTTGATTACTACTGCATTATTATAACGTTACAATAATGATTATTCTTTTTTTCCCAGCAGCGTAGCGTCCCAACCACATTTATAAAATGTGCATTAATCATGGCCTGGTCGGGGCTATTAATGTCTGCTGGCGAAAGCCAAACAAGAAGATGCAGACCAGGACCATTTCAAAAATAAATTAAATTTTTATGCGTATATGCGAAATATATTAAATGTTTTGTGCATAAGAACTCCCCTGTTAATGAGACGCACAATTAATGCAATCCAGTCGGAGGCTCAACGAGTATAAACTCAATTCCATAAATTCAGGAATTCAGCGTTTGGTAATTAGTGGCCAAGGTTAATGTGCAGACGGGGGACCTTACGACCGGAATCCTGGCAGGCTGAAGACGGGTTCATCATGGTTCCAATAACAGCTACAAAAAATTGAATCTGAAAGTTTTTCAAACTCGGATTAACGTACAGAACGCCTCTGTTTTTCCAGCTCTTTTTCAATGGAAATCATTATGCTTTTTTTCTTGCTACCCCCAATCCCCTAGAGAACTAGTTAAAGCTCTCCATTGCCTAGATCTATATCCCCATCTGTTAATTTCATAAAAAGTGCTCTAATATACGGAGCATAGGAATGAGGTGCTTTCTATGTGCGATTCTGCATCATCATCATGGACAGGCTGTAAATGAGTTTTATTATCTGCAAACAAATTGCATTAGTCGCACTCTCGATGGCTTGTCACAGACTTGCCTGCAGAGCGGTTCTCACGGACAGCGGCAGGATGCCAAGAAGTTTAATACTTTGCGGATTCTGTGCCTCCCGCAGCATCGGCCCCAATAGTTTGCGCTGGTCGCAGCTCAGCTCCTGCCAGGACACACTGCAGATGCTCTCGTAGACCTGGTCGTACTGTGAAATATGAAGGATATAGGATAGAGGATAGATACATCTAGATATGCTAAAACTGACTGCGAATTCAATTTTGGTGCCCAAAACGCAATAGACAGACATGCTGTAGGCTGACACCAAAAAATATATTGCCGATGGCATGTGAAAACTAGTCAGTATGATGCAGAAGCTGAGCATCACCGCCACGGCCATCGACAGCACCTGAGTGGCAATCAGATCATGGTAGAGTTCATTCACAGTGTGGCAGTAGCTGGAAAAAGTATATAAGAGCAATCTGTAAGCCTGTAATTATTTATGTTCTCTGCCTACTTCGTGAATAGCTGATGCCACTTGATCACATCTAAAAGCAGCTCCTGTCGCCTCTCCTCTCCTGTTATGGTGGCACCCAGACTAACCAGAGCTCTGGCCTCGGTCTTGCGGTCCAGAGCAGCGTTAAGGTCGTCAACCTTGAGCTGTAAAATGTCCGCAAACGCAAAGATTTGAGAGAGACCAAGAAGGACAAACAGGTCGCCGGCATAGAAACCGCAGCCGGCGACACCGATAGTCACCAACTGAATGAGATAGGTGATTGAGTAGCAGGCGTTGTTCTCCAGCGGCAGGCCAGGGATTTGGTACTGCATCACAGTGACCCGAGTGCCATCATACAGGAGCATTGCCATAGGAAGGATCGTCATTAGCAAAAACGTGGCCATGTACCCGTTGCGTATGCCTCGCATTAAGCCCAGCAATCGATCGATGTTCATGTCCAGCGTTCGATAATGTACATCTGACTTTCCCTCGTACTCTTCATATACGTTGCAGGCAAAAAAGGTGAGTCTCTTCATGGTCCGCTGCTTCAGCAGACAAGTTAAGAACTTTCCCAAACCATGGAACAGGCCTCCCATCATCAGACTGGCTTTCAGGCTCACTCGCCAGTCGCCGCCATTGTCGACCATCGAAAAGATTGTGAAGCCTGTGTAGTTGACAATTGCAAAGGTTGTGGTCCAGGTGCGGTAATTGAACTTTACTTTAGGGGCCAAAACATCAACCCCCAAAAGATTGGTCCAGATGTTAATGTTTTTGGTTAGCTGCCGAAAGCGTTTGGCTGGATTCACTGCCACAGGACTGCTCATGGTGGACTACTCGTAACTGAAGGATACGTCAAAGGTTTGCGCTTATATAGGACAACATCTATTTGTTTTTACTGAAAGTTCACAGCAATTATCCACATTACTGGATAATTATCGTTTACAGCGATATTAAACAGAAATGAAAATTGATTTTTTAATCGGAGCAATTTCGTGTTAACAACTGCATATTATCTCTATCACTTTGATTGAACCTTCCACCTGATATTTCAGAAGCCGTTGGATTCTACTTTAATCTAAGTTATGCATCCATATTCTATATGGAAACCACCATTCAGGTGTTTCTCATTGTTGCTCAACAAAGGGCATGCAAAGGGAAGAGATAAAAAGAAAGAAAGAAAGACTATTTCGCTTTGGGTTATCCGACCATCCAATAATAATACAATATGGTTTGCTTTCGTTCTCTTTGTTCCTGGTCTATCAGTCTCTTTTTTCGCTACCCATTTCGCACACAATTATTCGCCTTTGTTTCGAGACTCTTTCGATAGCATTCATCATACGCACTGTTGTCTAATACACTTCATAGTGCGGAACGTTATTAGTCACCGCATCGGTGAGGGCGGCCATTCTCTCATCCTCTTTCCCACACCATCCCATTGCTGCTGCTGCTGTTTCATTGTGTGCCCTTTGTTATTAATTTCCAAGCTATAAATTTTACTTTGCCACATTTCTAAAGGCCAATCCCCAGTAAAACTACTCACTTGTACTTGTAGTTTTCCCGGCCTAAGCCCGAGTTGGGGACTTGGACTGAAGCTGGGGACAGGGCGGGGGCCTCACTTCACCTTTTGCACGCTCCAACAGCTTTCGGTTTTTGTCTGCGGTATTTTGTTATTCTGGCCGATACAGCTGCTTCGCTCCGCCCTTCCATCTGCTGCACATCTTTTGTTTATGCCTCACAATGGCCTGCCGCAGGTTTTTACTGCCTGCCATTGTGTGAGTGCTTCTGTATCCGTGTTTCCGTGTGTTTGTGTGAGTGCCTTTTTCTCATCTTGGTTGCCACCGGCCTATAAAATGCAATGGAATTTCATATTGTGCGAGTATATCGGCATCATCATAATGCTTTCGTATAATATTCTCAGACATTTTTGCGTTGCGGCACGTAAAAAATGCAACCTATACACACACATCGTTACATGCTTTTCGGAATGTGTGCGCGTGTGCGAGTGTGTGTGTGTGTTTGATGTTTAATCAATTGAAAATGCGAGTGCCATTGATGGGGCCCGCACTCCGAATACCTCCTCCTGCTCGGGCCGCCCACCTGAAATCCTCGCGTAGCCAAGTCAATTGTCTGCCTGACATGCTGCATAACATGCCACTGCGGATGTGGATGCCGCATGCCATAGCCGATGTCAGAACGTAAGCCAGGGTCGGATCGCCTCTGTTCCTGCTTGACTTCCGCATTGCCCTGGCGGCTGTTTGCCCAGAACAAACTGCAGTCAAGGCAGCGTCGGCAATCTTAAGACGCGCTGCTGCCTTCCAGTATAGAAAAACATTAGCAAGATTGCAAGGTGCGTGTGCGGCTTTCGCCTGGATCCTTCCGCCCACCTCTACTTACTTCCGTATTGAAAGGGAATTGAACGCTCGACTGGCAGCCCCGGCTTCCTTTGGTGGTTCTGTGCCTTTGCCGCCTTGCCGCATGAATGGCACAAAGAGGAATAAAAATTACAATATTGCCGCTGCTGCCGACGACGACCACGATGCAATGTGGGAATGGAAGGCAAACAACAGACACAGCAACAGCAACAAAAACATCCTCACGCACACACATACGCAGCAATACAGAGAGGGCGAAAGAGGAAGGAAAGGAAGAATGCCTCAAGCTGCCTATAGAACCACTCATGCGTGTGTGTGTGTGTGTGTTTCTTGTATTGAAACTTCCTTTAATGGCTTCCGGTTATCATTATTGGCACAACGTATTGTCCGTTCCAACTCTTGCTCTCGGCTTTCCCCTGCTTCGCTCTGCTCTGCTCCCTCAAAGCTGCGTGTCTATAAAGATTAAACGCATTGTTCTTTGTTGATTCTTTTCGTCATGCAAAGAAATTAATATTCGCAATCCATTATCTTTTCTAATAGCACACATACGTCCGCCGACACCAGAACACGAGCACACTCACACGTTGGAGCAGAACAAAGAAGCATATTTAATAACCTTAATGGCCAGCTTAAAGCCTTAAAGAGCGTCGAAACCTTTGACCAAGGCCCCCTCCGAAAGCATAATCAATCAATCGAACGCTTTAAGCTCTTGACTAATATGCATCAAAAAGGGCCGAGGCAGGGCAATATTTTAAAGTGGCCCCGCACACACACACACACACACTGCCACGGAACGAAACTCACACATTGATAGATTAGCAGCAGCCACATAAAAGCAGACTCAAGCCGTACTGGGCCGTCATCGTCATTCGCTCTGGCTAATGATGACAAATTTTTTATGGGCATTATGAGCGCTAGGGCCGGACTACAGCAGCGTATACGCTGCGCTGACTTAGAGCGTGTGTGGGGGATTGGTAATGGGAGAGGGGAGCCTCATGGGAGGCTGGCACTAGGCGTAGAACGGCTGTCTACTCTCCCTTACAGAACCCACCAAACCAAAACCCTTGGTCGGACAGTGCTCTTTATTAATTTGACAGCATCAACAGGAGCTGCCTGACTTGGCGCGCTAATGATTGAAATGAACTCCTCCATGACAAAGGACTGCGACGGCCACGGCGACGGCGACTGGGAGGGCGACGGCAACTCCGGCAAAAGCCAGCGTCGTCCGTTGTAACGCCTACCATCTAACCAGGGTGGCCCGAGCCCGGCAGCAGCAGCTTGATTGATGGTTATCACTCACTGGACGGAGAGAGCCACTACAAGGACGCCAGATTAAATGCTGTAGGTGTGTCATAACTTTTTTCTCTGTGCCTGGGATGGCTCCCTCTATTGCCGGCTCCATTGTTGTATTGCTCCTTTGTTGGGTGTTTTGGGTACTTGTCATCCCTTGACACAAATGCCGCACCCAGACGCAGCTAAGTATGCAAAAGTGAAGCGGAATCCAAAAATATATATTTGCCATGTCACTGGCAAAAGGAAAAAGAGGGCAAAAAATAAACCGCCATTGGTCATGTTTGAAAGCAAATAAGGCCAATTAACAAATGCAAATGTGCAGAATATTTGTACAGTTTTCTCAAAAAAAAAAAAAAAAAACAGGAAAAAGAACAAATGACATGAGGAGAGTAATCCCAATCCCATACCAATCCCTTTTCTAAAGTTAAATCGATGCTGAACTATTATAATTGAACATTTAAGAAAAACCCCACTTCATTGACTCCCCATCCCCAGCCACCAGCACAGGTAATGTTCTGGCAATTGAGACAGGTGTGGGAAGTCGGATATCATCCAATTGCCACCAAACTTTTCACTCACTGAAGTACCCCGAAATCTCAATACAATTGTAGGCCACAAATGTTCCCAGTGGCAGGACACAGCTGCCACCACACCAGCAGCAAAGTCTATTTTATGACTCGGTAGCAGAAAAAGAGAAAAAGTCCCCCATCAACATAGAGAACATAGAGAGCGGAGGAGAACTCACTCCGTGAGAGAGAGTCGCTACTTCCAGTCCAAGTGCCATTTAAGGGAAATTTACTCTTCTTTCATGGGGAAATTCCTGCTGAATGGAAGTATAAGAGTCTGAAGGATACCCACTCAAATTGGGGAAATGGAAGAGAACCATTCTTCGGGGGCAATTTTCACTTGAAGATTTTAAATTGGGCTAACGGCCTGAAAGTGGAATTTTGTAAATTGCACTTGTTGCCAGAGATTGAGGCTGGAAGTTTACGCAATCAAATAATAGGTTAGTGGCTACTATCTTGTTTGGTGTCAGGACATTTGCGAATCTTTCTAGCAATTATTTAATTTACATTGATGGCCCAACGGGCACCCATATATTCGAGTCGTATGTACCCAAGGAGAACGAAGCCCATAAGGCCGGACGATGGGCTGGCATTGGGCGGCAGAACGGAAACGGAAAAAATGAGATTTATGACGTGTACAATGGGATGTCGGATGGGCAGGTGGGGGGGTTTTGGGCGGGATGGCAGGCAGGTTGTAGGCATTGCGGCAGGCACTTATAAATAAAAGTATGTGTGTACATACCATAAATGCTGGGTGAATTATTAAAATAAAAGTGAAACGGAAACGTAACAAAGGTTCGGCGGCAGCATTTATGACAGGAAAACGCGAAACGCAACACAAAGAGATTGCTGTGGCACGCATCTAAAACGAGATATGCCACGCCGGAAATAAGCCCACCAATACAACACACACAAGCACACACACGCACAGACGAACAAGCACACGTATAATGTTTACGCACTGCCAAATCAAGATCCCCCATAAGTAGGCTTCATTTGCCAAGCAAACGATGTCTCGAAAAAATAACAAAATATTTGGAGTGTAGCAAAAATAACGTGGCCTGCCAGTCTTTTAGGCTGTGCTCTATATTAGCTAAGTACACATATGAATACTCGTAAAGCTGGATAAGGGCAAAACATTGGTGATGGGTAACTTGAGTAGATTGTTTTCAATCTGATGAGATCGACCCATGCTTTGTGTTTTCAATATCCTGTCCTTCTTTAGGACAAACCATTAATAAACTTCCTGCCGAAGGGTATGAACTTACTATTCCACGGCAGTGTCTGCTCTGCTGCTTCTTTTGGGCACAAGTTAAATACAAATGTATGCATGTAAACAAGCGTCTACTTAAGCAACCTGCTCCGCCCCGCTCAATCTCCCCCTCCCACCCCAATCACCAGGCCTACCCATCCTGCTATTCCCTTTCCTTTCCCTCTGTATTAATGTTCATTGAAGCGATCAAAATCAAGTCGACTACGGCTAATGCTACGCACATTTCTGGGGTATTTTTTTTGTTCCTGTTGCTGCTGCTCGATCCTACCCGACGATGGCCAAGCAGCCTGTGTGAACTTTTGCTTGTTACTTGCAATTTGCCTCGACAACCGTACTAGTAACGAAACACGAAAGGAAGACTGAAAGTCCACTACCGAGAATATTGATACCCTCAAAGATCCATCGTTCAGATGGCAGCTGTTTGATCCAGTGATATGATTTTGCTATTCGGAAAAACTTTTCTACATATACTCCGCGATAGTCGATATTCTTCAAACCATTTTCGAACAACTTTTGTCGCCTCAAATGATGCAAACGTCTGGTCAAAGTCGAAGTACCATCGGCTAAGGTATACAAAACCAGAACCAAACGAAAAAATGGAATAGGAAGCAGGATGGTTGTCGGTTCGCTTTTGATTTTATATGTGTTGGCATTTCTGTTTGTTTTTGCCACTCGTCTCTGCGTCCTTAGCCGCGTCTCTGGAGCTGTTGGCTTTCGTTTTTTAAGGTCGTTTACAGCAAACATTTCTTTTTCCAGGGGATGTATGGACGAAGAAAAGCTGGGAAAACGCTGGAAATGTATGTTATTATTATGGGGCATGTTGTTAACTACCCATACGCAAAACGCACTTTTTTCTCTGCCCTGATTTCGGGGTTGGGTTTGGGCATAAAGCGGATTTGTGAAATCGTTTGGAAAAAATATAATCAAAATTGTTTTCAAATGACTTACAATTGCTGTGGCATGTGGGCGTGGGCGTGGACGCGAACGGAACGGATCCAGAGAGAGTGGGAGCCGGGACTGTTGCCAAAGCGGGGAATGTAATTATGCGTCTGGGTCGTCTGGGGTGTCAACTGTCAGCCAATCGCCGTAACTTAAGCCACGCATTTGCCGCTGACAACTGGAAAAATTGCCGTTTTTATGGCCCCCAGGATCGGGACTGACCCCCGGAATGTAGTAACGGTGGTCGCCTCGACTATTTTCGGTATGCGTTGAGTTAATAGCCAAAGCGGCGAAATGCCAGCAGTCAAGGTCCTCTGGCAATTACTTTGTGGTCCATTATTTGCCAGATGACCGGACCTTTCAGAAGCGCTCTCTTACGCATTGTGGGTCCGATGCGAGGAAATAAAATAATGGTGGATACACTTCTGGGATCATTAAGGTTGTAAGTTGATCAAAATTCTTCTATGGAATATATTTGTATTACAGCCAGCCCTTACTTTGCGAGTATTTCCGAGCTTCTAGCGCTTTTGGCTGCTTGAACTCGTACTTTCCCCATTCTCAGTGCGTTGCTTGTCAGTTTCAATATTTTATGATAGCCACCATTGAACTCTGCATGAAGAGCACATAAATTCACCAAAACGTAGCCAATGCTGGACTGGACTGAAGCCACGACCATCTCGTGTATCGCTTCTTGAGAGACCAGACCGCCCAATGCAGCAAAATGTTGTAGAAAAATGCCATATCCCCCATTCCCCATATCCCACTAGGAGGAGTCCTTCTTGTCTGTGCTCGCATAAAGAGCGGAGAAGACAAAAAACTACGTACACATCATCATTGTCAATTGCCGGATGTGGTGGATGGGTATAGGAAGAGCGGGTCGAATAGATCGAATGGGGAGTGGAGTGGCGACCAAGCGAGCAATCGCTGCTGCTGTATTCTGCTGTATTCATTGTTGCCACGTAATTGCATTTCGCTATCGCAGATATTTATAGCTCCACTCGGTCAAGAGCAGCTCCGGCAGTGGCCATACTTTGGCAGCAACAGATTTTTCCGAGCAAATGCGGTCAACCGCAAAAGCGCAGCAGCAGCCACGGTGGCAACAGCAACAGCAACAGCAATAGCAATGGCAACGGCAATGGCAACGGCCACGGCAGCAACAGCATCGCCAAAGTCGTTACAAGGATAAGGGCGTTAGAGCGCATTGCATGTTGTTGCTAGCAGCAGCAGCAGTTGTTGTTGTTGCTCTAGCCCGGGCATTAGTCCTGGCCAGGCAAATAAAAATAAGCAATGCCTGGCCCCGGCTTCGCGTCGTTGTCATGAAGCACATTGAACACCGAACAACTCCCACCCTGAGCGCCGAACATTGTCATTGCATTCCGCGCACCAGAAATATCAGGAGCAGGAGCAGAAGCAGTGAAGGAGGCCCCTTGAGCAAGGACCTGCAGCGACACAGCCACAGCCATGCTTCTGCCTCTGCTGCCACTTATTCGGAAAAGTACTTGCCGACGGTGCCGCATTAGTGGCCCGCTTAACAATGGAGGCCAATGGAGGAAGCCAATTTTTATTGAATCAAGCCGGGCCTGGCTTTGATGACCAATGACTAAGATGACTTGAGCGGACAGTGAAGTCCTGCCAGTTGTCGATAAGCTTGGGAGAAGTCAGAGAGGGGGGAGCTATGATATGCTATGATGAAAATCTTAAAAAAAATTATCGGAACCACATTAAAGGTCCTCTCTGCTCCAGCATGCTGGTGTGCAATTTTCAAGTGCACTTGCACTTAAAGTAAAAAGAGCTTTATATACCATTTATAAACTTATATTTGTATTTATAAATTACTCCATTTACAGGTGCTTTCAAAAGTTATTGACTCTGGTCCGTTGTAGGGCTAAAGTTTTTACGTTTTTGCTCTGATTGGATCCAGACCCATGACTGACTCTGAATATCAGTTTACCTTTAGTTTTAATATGGATACATGAATGGACTGCACTTATCTTGATTACCCTCTGGCCCACATCCAGTTATACGCGCTGTCTATTCTCGTTTCAATTATTTGTTTTTCTATATTCCTCTTTTAATGTTGTCGGGGAAAATGTTTAAAATGAAAATGTGTGTCCTCTGGCTTGTTGGCCACCACAAGCGACTATTGGCATATAAATTTGGCACACACTTACAAAGATAATACTCGGACACGCAGACATGTAAATGTTATTGCAAGCATAATTTTCTTTGCTGCCATTTGCCGTGTATTGCTATTGCCACTGCCTTTGCCTCTGCCTGTGTTGCTTCTGCTTCTCCTGCTGCTACTTCTGGTACTGGCCGTGTTTTGCTTTGTTGTTGCAGTTGCAGTTTTTGCACGTTATACGAGCCATTTGCAGCAGCAACTACATGCGACTGCATTGCGGCAGTTGTTGTTGCTGGGTGTCCTGTGTGCGCCGTCAGGCCGAGGCCCAGAGTCCTTGTCGGTGTTGGAGTTGGAGTAATTGCCATCACGTCGCTGCAGCCAGGAAAGGCCGGTCTAGTCAAGGCAAGACAACACTGGAACGGAACGGAACGGAACTGTCCGCATCCGCATCAGAGGGAATGGGGCTTAGGTGGAAATATTCTAAAAATAACAATGCATAATTTACGTCTGGCCAGGTCCACAACTAATGTAGCGGCAGCAGCAGCAGCTGGCAATGGAGAAAAATGCAACTGCCATCTGCCTAAATAATAAATAAAAAAGGGATATGTGAGAGAGAGCTGGCATTGGTGGCATTGGTGAGGCTGCCCAACTGGTCGGCGAGGCGGTTCATGCTGAAAGTTGTTGTTGTTGTTGCTGTTGCTGTTGCCATTGCCATTGTCATTAGCCGTTGGGCAAATAATTTACTTTACCACATTTACTTCGATAACTAACCATTGTGTTGTTGCTACTGCTGCTGCTCTGGCTGTGGCTCCTGCTCTTGTGCTGGCTCCTCTTTTGCTGCTCTGCGCTCCATTGTTGTTGTTGTTGCTGTTGCTGTTGCTGTTGCAGTGTCTATGGCGCCTGGTCGCCATTGTAACCACACAGACACAGAGTCCTACAGATACACATTGAATGTACAGCAATGTTCAGGCTTGTGTTTGTGTGTGAGTGGAGTGTGTTCCACTTATTGATTTCAATTAACATGCAACAGCATGTCTTCTCGTTGCATAGTTGCAGGCTGGCTGCAACATTCACTTGTCCTTTGTCCCCAACTGTGTGTAGGATGCTTTTCAATCTTTTCATAGGCTAATGTTGCACTTGTGCGTCGTTATAGTTTGCCCTTTGCCCCCTGCTGCCCCTGATGCATGCTGCCAGCCGCTCCCCATGCGTCCTTTGTCTGCCGTTTCCATTGTGTTGCAAGCAGCATCGCCAACCCCCTCCGATGGCCAGCTTTTCAATAATTATCAATTTTGTGTGTTTGTATATTTTGTATTCCTAAGTTTATTTACTTGTTTTTTGGTTTAAGGCCTTTTCGTTGTTATTTCCTTGGCAAACAGTGCGTATGCGTGTTGTGTTTTGCGGTCAGCAGCAGCTCAAACTGCTACAGCAGTTGTTGTTGTTGCATAGTAAATTGTGGAAAAGAATTTGTGGAAATTTGGAAATCTGCCCAGAAGCCAGTCCGCTCCGACTGGCTGTGTTGGATGCTGACCTAATGAAAAATCCGATCCATTTGATTAAAATATACGAGTACATACGGATTGTTCTCCAGATTAGCACTGAAATAAGTTAAATGCACTCAATACTATTTATATAAGTCGTTCATGCATTGTTCATTTATATGCAAACTTAAACCTAAACTGAATCTCTATATATGTACAATACATTGGAAGTTATTATAGCGTGAGGGGTAGGTATGTATGCGGTTTCTGAGTATTTATTTAAATAAGTTAAATTTGACTTTTGTGGCGGCCGCTGTGGTAAATGTGGAATTCGCGGAACTCGCTGCTGGCTCATCAAAGGCTTTTGGCGAACCTAAGTCGGCCGTAAGGCTTCCGCTCTATGGGCAACGGGCAGATTCAGATTTAGAACCAGAGAAAATGTAATTGACTACGGGGTCAAGCGTTATTTCTTTGTAGCTTTTTCCTCCACTTAAATGTGGCGGAGGCATCGACTATTTCTTCATTGGGTTTCTGCTTCTGGGTAGGTTTCTGGTGTGTTTTTTTGTGCTCAGTCTTTAAAGTCAACTGTACGATTCTTGTATATTCTGTATGCATACTTTACGCTTGTGGCAAGTCTGTCTATGTGTGTGAGTGTGTGTGGCAAGCATTTTAAGCCCACTGTTATTGTGGTTTCCTCCTGATCCATCCTTTGCTACGGGCTGCTGCTCCTTTTGTCGCCTCTCCTGTTGCCTGCCTTGCATTGACTTTCAGGCCTCAACCTCTTTATGACTTACATTCTGTACGAGTATGTGTTGGTGTTGGTGTTTCTCTATACGAGTATTTTTAAAAGCCCAACTTTTTCAGGGCCTTCAGGTCTACATCGCCATAGTAATCCTCGCTGTAAAAGGAGAAACAGGAAGTATTAAATAAATATAAATTCCTTGCTTTACGAGTACAACATGTAAAGGAACGTTTCTTTCTTGGGGCTGTGGCTCTGGCCTGGCTTTGATTTGTTTAATTAAATTGTTTTGTCTCTTGCCAGTCATGCTCTGAGGAATTTCTGTGATGAGTAACAGTAGATGTGGGTGTGTGGAGTCAGGACTTGGTTAACAAGTCGACAAAATGTGATTAGGTAGCGCAAAGAATTATTTTCTCCATGCTATATTTTTCTGCGACCAACTTCTGTTTAATTTGTTCCCTTTTTTTGTGATGCCGTGAGGGCCAGCCCTCAGTTTGTGTTGTTAATTGACAAAGGAAATATTTATTAAAACCGTAATTAAAAATAATATTGTTAAAATCTTGTTACGAGCAGTGGACGAGATAGAGAAAGAGAGAGAGAGAGAGAGAGAGCTGGGATGGAGCGGAGGGCTAGCAGGATGTACACAAGGATTTGTGGCTTGGCCAGATAAAATGGAATAGCGAAAGCGAGAGCACAAAAGCAACAGGACGTCAAGGATTAAAAGACGCTTGCTGGTTGGGTTGGGCTGGACTGGACTGGCCTGGGCTGCCTTCTGGCCGCAATAACAACATTATCAGCGAACAACAAATTGCCTTTAAAGCGCAGAAAACAAGGACAAGTACGACAGCGAAGCACGCCTCTTGCTGCAGAACATGGCCATATATGGAGCTCCCATCCCATTCCCAATCCCATCCCCAGCACTAGTCTTAGTCCCATTCCCGTTCGCTTCCGCGGCTCAGCTTTATATAAAATGCGCGCTGTGTGTGCGGCTCTGGACAGCGAATGACAAAAAGCGCAAGGCTATTAAATTAAATTAAATGGAATTGACCAAAAACCAAGGACAGCTATGGCTCTGGGCCAGCCCTGACTTGGTCTTGGACTTCTGCAATGGTTGTTGAGAAGTCACCACCATAAATGTTGCGGCTTATTCCTGGGAGTGATGAAGATGCGGATGATGATGAGAGAGCAGGGAGAGCAGGAAGAGCCCAAATAGGATAGCTCTGAGGATTGGGAGTTAGCTGCAAAATATGGCTCTTGTTTAGTGGACCGAAATTGTTTTCCTTTTCTTTTATTTACGTTCCATTTTGAATCTCTTCACCAACTTAGAGCACTCTACTTCAGCTTGCCACTCTGCCCCCCCCCCGGTCGCCGTCCACGGCCTCTGTGCCCCTGTGCTGAATACTCGTATTGAGAAGCAGTTGCCGGCTCATAACTTTTGCCCGCAGTTGGTGGCAGCAACCTGCGCTCTAGTTTTATGTGCTTTCTGGGCGTTTATATCGTCATTAAAATTAATTAGAGTCAAAATGTTAAAGGGATTTCTTTGCCTGTCCGGGCGAGGGCTTGGCTATTATACATCAAGAGTTGTACAATACTCCACCCTACTCAGATTCAGAGTCGGAGCTGGTCTATCCAGTGTCTGCCCTTCTGTAGCGGTTTGTGGACAGTTGTGTAACTTTGTTTTTTGTTTAATCATATCTGTTTATAAGATAGTTCTATGTGCAGTGCGTTTGACGAGCTCCCTCTTCTTGGTTTGGTTTTTTCTGCCAACCTCAGCCACAAACATAATCAGAGCTCACAGGAAGGCAAAGGATTTGACTCATGAAAGCGGAAGGACGCTGCCCTGGAGCAACAACTTTTAATTGAAGATTGCATTCTTGCTGAAAAAAAGAGCTAGCCACAGCAACAACCATAGAGAGAGTGAGAGCATTCTAAAGGTTATTAAAGTAAAAGATGACATCCAGTGGTTGCTCTCTGACTGTATTGCAGAGTGGCATTAAGAGCTGAGCCCGCAGCAACGACGAACTGAATGGTTGCAAGCGACTTTATGCTTATATTTGCCCCAAAATTCGAGAGCTCTTTACGCGGCTTTTCTATGCCAAAAAGAGCTTAAGAGACACATACACAAAGCCATACACATGCACATGCACATACACAGAAACACTCAAACGCGAACACATACACATTCACAGGACACAGCAGAAAATGTCCTTTAGCAGCCGAAGAGCAGCGACAACTTGTGCCTTGAGTTTGTATAGTTTTATAATTTTTATTTAATTAGTTTTAAAACTTTTTCCCAGGCTGTACGTGTGTGTGTGTGTGCATGAGCGAGCCATAAATGCACACAAGCACAGGTTCACCCATACAAACAAGAGCACACACAAACACACAGTAAGGCACTCCTACCCTTTCTGGCAATGCCAACGTTAAAGTTGCCAGCTTTTATGAGTTAGTGCGGGACGAAGCCATGCCCATGCCCTAGACCCTTCCCTTTCTTTATCGAGGTGCCAGTGTCCTTTCTAGGACCCTCTCTTTTCTGTAACCATTCCTTCTCTATTCTCTCTTCGGTCGTGTGTGTGTGTGCCTGAGTGTTTCTGGTTCTGCCTGCAATTGTGTTGATAATTTGAAAATTCATTTAAAGTTTTTGTATCGCGTTTTTGTTTATAGAATCTAATGAATAATTAACAAAGTTCTTGTGCATTTGAAAAGACGTCAGCGGCGACGGCAACGGCGACATTGCCAAAGACTTCCTGGTCGCTCCCGAATGCCAGCCAACTTTTCATTTGCGGCAAATATGGCTGCTTGGCCTGGCTGGCTGGCAGGCTGCTTTGCTTCGAAAAGTTTCATGTTTACTTATTATTTACAGACTCTAACAACAAGTCGGCCAGAAAAAAAACATCTCAAAAGTACACACACATAGACCGCAACTTATAAATAATTTACGAGAAATTCTATTTCGACAGAAAGTTTTTGGATTTGAGGAGCGCACTTTAAGTTTTAGTCGGCCCGGGAAATGATAGAGACTTACTGATAGATCAGTGAATGATACGTTAAATGATGTAAGGAAACGGTGAGACATTAGGGTGTTTTCTACGAGAACAACATGATTTTGGTTTTTCGTTTTTGTTTTTTTTTTATATATATTTTTTGTTTTTCATTTTTATGTATAAAATAAAATTATAAGCTTATAAACAAGGATCACTTAAATGTACAAATCTCTAAATTTTACGCTTCATTTTTTCATTCCTCGATGTTCTTTTCTGTTCTGTTCTATTTGTTTTTGTTTTTTCTTTTTGTTTACCTTTTGAATCTAAAAACTTGATTTGAAATTTTGATAGCAATGATTTGACGCAGAAATTGGTCTCAGATTGCGAATGGAAAGAGAGTTCTAAATTAGAAATACAAAATGGAATAGAAGTAAGGAGAAGAACGAGAATGGCAGGGCAAAAGATCTGATGCGATTGGATTTATGATTCGAGGCTGGCTGAGTATTCTTTTTGTTTTTGATGTTGGGTGGGACAGCGGAAGGAGGTGGTGGAAATGTGGAAATTGGGCATTGAGTTTATTGATCTTGTTGTATTGTAGTTGTTGTTCTTGTTGTAGTTGCTTTTGTTTAGTTATTTGTTGTTTTTGTTGTTATTATGTTTATGAGGAGGAGGAGGAGGCAGCTTTGGTTTTGGACGCGCCCTTGGTGCGACCTTCACTGTTCAATCCAGCTAGAAGTTCGCTCTTGCGGATGCTCTTCAAATCCAGATCGCCATAGTAGTCTTCGCTGTAATTGTAAAGGTAAAGGACCAAGGTAAAGAGATATGTCAGAACAGGCCAAGAGATATGGATATGTGATCTGTGATCTGTGATCTGTATGCAGTGGGTGAGGTGAGTGAGTGAGTCAGTGGAGAATGAAAGTTCAGACAGAGTAAAACGTGGTGTAGAGAGTGAGGAGAATGTGGCGTGTAGAGTGTCGAGTGGTGCAAGCGTGGCCAAAAATCTCAAACTCAAACAGCGCTCCCAAAGCAAAACAAATCAAAACCAGGTGCTAGCCTAAGAGTAAGGATATTTTTGAAGTGTCAACACTTACCAGCCGGGAACATCCTCGGGATCCTCGCAGTTGCCAGTGCCGTCACTGTCGCCGATCTTGAACACAGTACCGATGGGGCAGCCGTATTCGCGAGCAACTCCCTCCAGGCAGATGTAATATTTGCGGCAGTCCTCGGGATGGGCGTGGCGCGAGAAAGAGCCAGCATTCGCAATCTCACCGGCAGCAGGGCATGCAAAGCCATTGGCAACCTCTGCGAAGGAATATCGATGTGTTTATTTAGTAATCATCTTGTTTTAGGGGTAAATAAATTAATTTTCTCACCTTCGTTCTTGCACTCAGGCACCTGGTCAGCCCACATGCAGACGCGGGCGTCGCGATCGTAGGCCAGACCGGGCGAGCACTGGTATCTAGAGGGTTCGCCATTCCAGCAGTTCCAGAACACATCGCACTTGTTCTCATCGGGGAAGATGCCGTACAGCCGAGAACAGTGTGGCGTGGTGATTGGGGGCTCTTTTAAAATAATATATAAATTCCGATTAGTCCTCTTTGGTCTATTTTTTTTGACTTATTTGGGAAACTCACCCAGCTCTGTGCGCTCGCCGCACTCAACATTGTGCAGATAGTCGCAGTTCTCGGTGAGGTATTTCGAGTCTGTGGCATCGAAGGCAAGGCCGTTGCCGCAGGTCTTCAGCTCGGAGACACCGTTGTCGCACTTCCAGTATTTGTCGCACGAAGCATCGTGTGGGTAGAATCCGAAGTCATCGGGACATTTAAAGCTACTTTGGGCCGCGGCTGTAATAGATGCAAACAGGGATATGTATGAGTACAGACGAATATTACACTAATTTCTAATCGTTTGTCAAATATTTAACCCGAGCACGCAACACATGAGTGGCGTATGTCATCGGCCCAGAATTGTCGGCTGAAAATGACTTCGAAATGTCCATGGAGTAGACATTGTTCCAACAATTGTTCGTATCAAACATACACGTGTACGCACATGCATACGCATATTATCATTATGAGGGCAAAGATAATGACGATGGGCCCAGGTCCAAGCCCAGCCATTTGTCATCTTTCCCAAAAGGCATTCACTTTAAAAAGTCTGATGTCTGACAGAGAGAGAGAGAGAGACAGAGAAAGAGACAGGGAGACGACGGTTGCCAATAAATCTCGAAGGCAACTTTCAGCAGAGACGTAGACACACACACAAGGATTGTTGACAGCTCAGGGCCAACTGCATTTACTTTTGCTTCGTCTTATATTTTTTTGCTCGTTTTTCGTCTGTCTTTTTGGATATGAAATTACACCGAACGATCCCTGGGACAGAGAGTTGAAGCACCTGAAACGCGCCACCAAGGACTTATCGTGGCTCCATACCCATCCCCATCCCCACTCGTATGAGATCTCTTTCGCTCTCTCTCATTATCTGTATCTCTGTGGTAGCTCTCGAGCTCAATGCAACCGCAGAGCGTAACGAACTAAATTGCATTTGTACAACTAACTAATGTGGTATTTGACGGCACTGAAATGTGTTTTCTATGGATGCGTAAATCAAATGGCAGCAGTCAAAAAATAATTACGACGTGTAGTCTGGCACTGAAAAGAATTCCTGACAAAATGAACAAAATATCCCCTGTCTAGCTGTACCATGCCTCATGCCCCATGTGTGATAATCTAATTGCGAGGCCACAGCGTTGCGGTCACGTTTCATTTCCAATGTTCAATCAGAAGTGAGCATCAATTGCCTGAGCCATGCCGAGCCGTGGGCCTGGGCCTGCAGATAGTCCTGCTCCCTGGGGGCATCAAAGGCCTGGGCAACCGCATGAATGCAACAATTGATTGTAGGGGGGGAAAAAATCATAGAAAAATCAACTGATTCGCTGGCCTACTCACACACACCGGCATAAACAGCATGCAATATTCATGTTGTGTGTAAACTAATCAAATATCAAATTTTAGATACATTTACGAGAGTACCACTGCGCGCACACACGACGGGACGGGCGAATAAATCAAAACTGTGGCATCGCATCGATAGAATTATACATAGAGTTTAATTAAAAACTGTTATTTTCGCTTCGTATTTATTTTTACCGAATAAATGCTGTATGGCCATATATGGCCAGTCGGGTTAGTCACTCATTTAGCCGGTCCGACCGCCCTGGCCGGCCGGGCTAAAACCGAACGGGAGCAGAGCACTGATTGTTTATTCGTTTTGCATTTGTTTATTGTAATTTTGTTAATTACGCAGTTTGTTCGTGCTCGAATCGAATTTTCATGAAATTTAAATGGTCATTTAATCGCTTGATCCACCAGTTTTGATTTAATTTAAAAATTCGAGGAATTTTTTACCTATTTTTGCCTCAGCCTTGGAATTTGTTTGAAATCGTATGGGTCGAGCAGGCAGACTACAGCCATTCCCAAGCACTTAGCTGAGCAACATTCACCCAACTACGTTTTCCATAATAATTTAGTTTGGTTGCCTCCGAGCTGCATCTGTAACTGTGCGGAAAAAGTGCAATCTAACAGAAGGGCTACAATGCGACCAGCAGTAGCAGTAGCAGCAATGTTGCCCAAGCCACAGGAACGAACCGCAGCCGCGGCCCTAATGCGTTCGCACACCTGCCCAGGGTGATGATTGTGCACTTGCCATTGTGCCTGTGCTTTGTCGCGCTCGGTAAGTACCACATGTTATCTAAACAATTACGTATTCCCCAGCACCTCAGCACCTGGCCAACGGTGCGAATGTGAAATATGTTTGCCAGGCCGTACCATGGAGGACGATACCGTACCGGAGCCCGAAACAGCAGATCCAAAAGATTTCTTGTTATTTCACCAATCGTCTCGGTCGAGAGCTCTGTTGACATGACATAACATCACATCTATATTCGTATTTGTTCAGTGGGAGCCCGCAGAAGCTGCTGGCTAAACAAAAACGAAAGCAAAAGTATAGTCTAGTCCATATTCTGGCTTATTGGTGAGGAACCGGTTTAGCTGGATTCTAGACCAACTACTAACCCACTCTGGCCGGCCAGGCCGGTGTCTTTTGTTCTCGCCGTTGGCACACCTTTCAGTGGAATAGTTGGAATGGCATACAAGTCTGCGCTCACCACGTGATTCGGCGTCGAATTATTTATATGCTAGTTAGACAGATTGCCTGGTGTTGCTTGCTATTTAATTTAATTTACTGTTTTGCAATCATTGTTTTATCTATCAATACCGCTCTGTTAATTACATTTTTTGCTCGTTTTGCTCAAACAATGTGAACGGAAGGATTCAATCCTCTGCAGCAGAATACTCGTAGGTGTCTGTATTGAATATCTCTGCATTTCCCTGCATGTGTTTGTGCATTTAAATAATGCATTTTTATTGACATTTCAACGGTACAACCGACATTTGTATTGGTCTTTTCGGTCGATTGCGCACCATTAGCCCGACCCGACCTCCCGCTGTCATTGTTGTTTATCATTTGTACATCCGCTCGTCCATTAACATAATCATTTAATTAACCAAAAATGTACACAGCAGTCACACAAGCTACAAACTTTATTAAGTAGCTCTATCACAGGGGGAAAAAACTCAATACCATAATGAAATTAATTCATGTTTCACTTAAATGACAGACACTGTCAAGATGCAAATGTACTCGTTGTAAAACAAATAAATTCGTAATTAAAAAATTAACAACTGAATGCGTTTGGCAATTCGCAAATTGTATACATTTTCAATAATTCAAAGTTATACTATATTTTATAATTAGGAGCGAGTTCATTCACGCAAAAGTTCGATTCCCATTTGGCTCTTTTCTAACTTCTATCTACAATCGTCGTGTCTTCTGGCAAGTATGGGTCTGCATTGTGTCGCCTTCCCAGAAAATATCATGACATATGATGACAAATTTTCATTGCATGCCGACCAACTCAGTTGTCAGGCAATAAATAAGTATGAGTATCAACCGGCACCGAAGCGCATTGAACCCAGCATGGAAGACCGGAAGGGGAAGGGGAGAGGCGAGAGCGAAGGCGTCAGCCTTTGGCATTCCAGCAAACAAATTCTGAAGCATTATGAAGGACTTCTGTCTCTGTCTCTGGCCTCATCCACATTATGACAACTTTTGGTGGGAAGACTCATAATCGCCGCCTCTAGAGCGGATTGCAATCACAGGTTGGAGCCCTCTATTCTATGCAGCAAGGTGTTTTTTGTCTGGTGTGGTGTGGCACTTGTAAGAACAAGTATGTATCTATCATTTGCCTGTGGCAAATTCGCAAGTGTTCTTGTTGCTGGTGGTACTGACGTTACTTTTATCGTTGTTGGTATTGTTGTCTGGCCGTGCCACGTCTGCCGGGACAGCACCAAGACATTGCCGCCATATAAATCAAGAAAATTGCTGACATTTAAGCACGTTTCGTTAGAGTTTTAGCCTTCCAGCCACAGCCCCAGCCCAAGCCTGGTCGGGGCTAAGGCTTGGTATTTACTCAGCCAGCAACAGCAATACCAACAACAGTCTAGCATTTCCGCTAAATGTTGCTGCTGCTGCTGTTGTTGGCTTTTTCCAAAAACAGTTTTTGCATATCGAGCCGCAGACAACATCGTAATGATATTTAAATATTTACCTACACTGTTGTCGGCATGTAGCCACCCGTATGTAGGTTAATCTGCGTTTGAATTGCTTGTCTATTGTTTGTCTATGGCTCTTGTGCTCTTGTGGGTTTTCTGAGAGCCGAAGAGTCGATGGTTGAGAGCTGAGTGCTGAGTGCCGAAAGCCGCCGCATGTGCGTCATTCATTCCCATCCCAGCCCCAATCTCCAATAGTTTTAGCTTGTCATATATTGAGCAATAAATCCGTTTAGCCAAAGAATGCGACTTAACCGCTTTGGTGGGCTTTCCGCCAAATACATGCATTTGCTATCGAAAAGAGTTTTTTCAAATTTAACGCATCGACGATGCAGCATTTGAAAATTGATTTGCAACATTCGATGTGTGAGTGTCAGTCCCGTGCCGTGCTGTACAGCTGTACCGTGCCGTGCCCCACCAAAAGTGGCATGCAAATTGAGTTTTAAAAGCGTTGGCTTTCCTTGTTGCTTGCCCCACCATAAATCACCATAGATAGCCCTGGCAACACTGTGTGAGTGTGTGTGCTTGTGCTGCCCTAATGCAACCTATACAATATCCCTCCGCCACTCCGCCACTCCGCCACCCCCCACCACCCCGGGCAGCAGCATGTCTGCTGCGGCCCTTTTCATTTGATTTTGTTGCCACAAAATAAAAACTTTTCAAGCGTGACTCGCTGCGCTGCTATTGTGTGTCCGTGTGCCCCTGCTGCCTGGTGTGTGGCAATAGCGAAATGGCAAAATTTATATTGTATGTCTTTTGCCACATTCTTTCTCGTTTTTTAACGCCGCTGCGGTTGGTGTTAGTTTTCGATACCAAACCGCAGCAGCAGCAAATGCAACACGAGAAACGAGAAAAACAACAAAAAGCAACAAATAATCAAGAGTCACAGCACAACGCAACAAAATGCGGAAATTTATTGTGTTTTGTGTGTTTTTCGGAAATCTTTGGAACACTTAAATTGTTTATCGCCGTGATTAGCAGTAGTCTTGTTGCAAGTTTTTTCCTGCCACTTAGGAGAGAAGTATGTGGCTGTTTGCCTCTTTAGCTTTTCGAGCATTCAAGCCGAACAATAAGTGTACCAATGAACAAATGAGCGAGTGCCATTGCATAATTAATGCCAACTTGAACTTGACAATGCGCCGTGCCGCACTCCACTGCCAACAGGCACTACAGGCAGGCAGTTCATCAAAATGGGCCCATTAAACATTTATGTTTTGGCCCGTTGTTAAGTTTAATAACTCCCAAATTGTTGGTAATTAAAATTGAGCAGTGAAATTGCTTTGTGGCCATGCACGACTTGGCTCTGAAATGCATGGCACGCAATTTGCAAAAATTTGAGGTTGAATAACCAAAAAGCGATTGGCATTTGAAACGGGTTTTTGCGGGCAATCGGGGAGCGGCTGCTGCGGCGTAGTTAAAATTCCTTGGGCCTAGCCTCAACACGAGCCCCAGCCCCGGCTTCTGCTTATCTCCCCCATTAGCTGGGTCTCGTAAACATCTTTTGTGACGATGATGATGGAGAAGTCTGAAAAGCATTTCAATGTCAATGTCAAAAATTGGCATTCGTCAACGATTCCGAACAATTTGATGCTCGTGACCACACCTCGTAGTTTGATGGAAACCACAAATTTTAATCGAGAAAAGGCTTGCATTAGATAACAGACAGGCCAGGCCAGGCCAGGCTTGTAACTCAAATCTTAATATCATTTGCAAAGCAGCATTACGCCAGCAACATTAACGGCAGGCAGCAGCAGCAGCAGAATTGGTTGCAAAACTGAGTTGCAACGAAGCCGAACGATCCAGCGATCGTCTCTGTTGTAACTTCTCCCCCTTTTTAAGGCGTCGTCGATGAGGTAATGAAATCGATGCAAACCAATAGATACTCATTTGAGATACAGATACATATAGTAGATACGAGTACGCTCCCCATTTGTGTGTAAGTATATCCGTAACTGTATCTCAGTATCTTTGTGTGTAACAAGGCAGGGAAAATGCAAGCTAACGTGTCGGGTTCGAGTTCGGTCTCTGGCATGGTCTCGGCTTTGCCTGGGTTTGGCTATTTTGGCCGCTTGCTCAATTATGTACATTTCCCTCTGGTTTTGCTTTTCATTTTCATTTTCATTGGTTTTTGCTTTTGGCTTTTGTCTTTGCTGTGCTGTGCCCCCTGCGACTCCGTGTATAAAATTGGAGCAGCAGCAAATGGGAGATAGTTGATTTACTCGTTGCACAAGCAGAGGCAGAGCTTAACATTAAAACACTCTCGATTTTTACACTTTTCATCACTGCTGCCGCTGCCGCTGCCGCTGTCGCTGATGTTGCCACTGATGCTGCTCAAGTGTCCTTCGTGTTACGCAAGCGGAAAAGCTTGATGCATGACGTATGCTGTATTTTCCCTCAGCTTTCATTCTTTCTTTCTCTCATTTGAAATAGCTAGGCTAGCAAAAGATACATACCGGCTCCGAATAATGCAACAAACACAACGAAAAACTTCTTCATTTTGCGATCGATTTGGGGCTTGGGCTCTTTCTGTGTGTGTTTTAAAAACTTGTTGTTGCTGCTGCTGGCGACGAGACGTAACCGCACTTGAAAAAATGTGTGACAGCGGGACCGAACGACTTGGACTGTGTGTGGCTGCCTGGCTGGTGCGGGAGCTTTTTATACCGCTGCGCATGCGCGCCCGCCGCGAACAATCCAGACGTTGGCGTTGGCAGAGCAGTCGACTAGCAGACAAGCAGACTAGCAGCAGCAGCCAAGCGACTGAGGCAGCGGCAGAAGCAGCGACAGAGGCAGCGTCACGTCCACTGACATTGCAACGGTACAGCGACTGGGCTGGCTTCATAGCAGTCAGCTTTGTGTAGGCCACGCATTAACGCTATATTGCGCTCCCTCTAATGCTTTGCCTCTCACTCGCTCTCTCTTTCGCTCACTCTCCTTCTCGCTCTGTTGTAAACGACTTTTAACTGTATTTGCCTGCTTTGTATGCAGGGTGGCAAAGTGTTGTCGCCGCAGCGCTGCTAGCAGTGCAGTCAGCAGCGCAGTGCCGAGCTCGACCATTGTTGTGGCTCAAGCCATTTGTCAATTGATCTGCTCTGCCGGCTGCTGCTTGCTCTTTCTTATACCCTATTGCAGAGGGTGTTATGGCTTTGACGAAGCCATGCTGATTTGCAATCAGCATGATCGTCAACATTTTGGCCGATACTTTACAACTACCAAAGTCATTGCTGCACTTTCGTATCACAGTAAGTTCGCTAAAATATATCAGATTACTGCCACGGAAATGATCGATCTGCTAGGGTATCAATAGCTTCGGCCCCCCTAAGTATATCCGTTTTTTGTTTTTTTTTTTTTTCGTTTTACTTTTGCTGCTTGCGCTTTGCATTTTTTACTTTTCTTTATTGTTTTTTTATGGTTTTTTTTTAAGGTGGGGGTTGAAAATGGAATTTTGCCTGAAAGTTCAATTCATTGCGAGTGTGAGTGTATTTGGGAGTAGTTTGAGTGAGTGTGTGGGCTACTTGTAGCATTCAATTTGTATCTGCCGCTAATTATATCCCAGGGTTCGGCCTCCTTCAACTAAGCCAAGAGACACACCAAATATCAAAAATATCAGATTCATAATTGAACTTCACCTTATTGGTTTCTGATCTTGCCTCAGTTAGGGGTGTGTGTGCGTGTGTATCTGTATCTGTATCTGTATCTGAGAGTGACTCATGTTCGTGGCATTTTTCGTCTGATCTAGTCATTGCTCATACGTCCCATGGTCCCTGCATCTGCTCCATAGAATAAAGATTATTAAAAGTTAATCTACACAATTAACATGGGATTTCTTAATGTGAAATGCAATGCGATGGTCAACCGGTGGCGGGCAATGCAATGCACGTCTCCATTCCGCTCTGAATGCAACTTACAATATACATATGTATGCACATAGGAGTAAACAAATAAACTAACATCGAGAGCCATATAGCCCGGTAGTCACTCGCATGGATGGCATTTAAAACAGGCCGTCATCGGACACAGCCAGCGCCAGCCAGCACAGCTCGGTGCGTGCAAGTAAAAGGTAGGCCAGCCAGTTGCTGTTTTTGCAATGGAAGTTGCAGTGGCAGCAGTAGCAGCAGCAACAGCTATTAAAACTGACCCAGCCCCAGTCCCAGCCCGGCGGTCAACGGCAGCCAGCCACTCAACGGCGCCTTCAAGAGGCAAAGGCAACGGCAACAAAAAATCAGAAAAAATGTGTGCAATTAAATGCAAGAAATGTGATTCAAGGTTTCGGAATGCAGGAAGAATATGAAATTAAAGCCAGGCCAGAGACGGCCGCAGCGCAGAACAATTACAGCTGACTCTCTGAGGCGAAGTCGAGCTCGAGTCGAGTTCAGATAGGAGTTGAGTTGAGTTTGAGCTCCTGCCTCTGTGTTATTGAAGTGGAGGCTAGAAGACTTGCTTGCCACTGCCTACATGTCCAGACACAGACAGCCAACCAGTTTTAGAAGTGCAAAAGCGACAGCAGCCACAACTACAGGTACGACAACTACAGATACAGATACAGGTACAAACCTCCAACTAAGCCACCTTGTCAGTTATGCTTTCGCTTTCGATAGCCCGCCCCACTGTTGTTTGGCATCGTTCCATTTGCGGCTGCTGGATCAAGTATCGAGTATAGATAGAGAGCCTCACCCGCAGTTACTCATATTAGTTGTTGCTTTTGTTTCAGGAGCCAAAGCCCAGATTGGTATTCTTTTGGGGTTGGTTTCTCTGCCACGGGGTAGCTGGGGCAAGCCGAGAAACGTGTTTGCCATGCAGCTGTCAGGCGTCAGGCTTGTGGGACTTGTTATGGATTCGTATATTTTTTGGCTCTGGCATTTTCAGGGAGTGCAACAGCAGCAGCGGCAGCCAGTCGACGAGGCGTTGCAATCGAATTGAATGCCAAATTATGCCGCAGTAGTCAGAAATCAGAAATCAGAAATTCTTACCCAGGCAATTGCAGTGGAGTAACTAGCGACGAAGGCTCCAAAGCCAACAGACAGTGAAACACCTACTAATATGTAGTCCAACAAATTAAAAAATATTTGAAAAATGCTAAAAATTGCATCAGACATGGAAATCGCCGGAGATTGTGAACGGTTTTAATTGTTGATTTTTGTAGCCCATTTGTGGGTGGGTGCGGCAGCAGCCGCTACGTCGCCATAAGCGTTGAAGTTGACGTCTGCGTCGCTGTCTGCATCGCCGCCGCCATCGCATGAGCAACGCGGAAGAAAAGTGGTTTGGCTTGGTCCACCGCTCTCCATTCCCCACTCCACCACCCTCTGTCTGCCACCACACGTGGTAAGTGCATGTCATTTGTATCTGATTCGTCGTCGATAAACTCACACACCATTCACAGAGAGTGAATTCCGAGTGATTGTTATTGTGAGTGCGGCGAGTGATCAGTTATAGTCTCTGTCGTATTTGGCCAGGCAAGTTCTTAGCCCAAAGCTGCTATTTGGCAAATGCATTTACAGTGAAACGGTAATCTGTCGTTAGCTGCGACAGCGACTGCAACTGCGACCGCCGCGGGTTCGTGACTGGAATCTTTCGTATTACGCACAACTGCCGCCGAAGGCCCGTTAGAACGGTTTCCAGTTAATTATGCCTATATGTATACAATACAATGCTCATGCGGCTACTTTATTTCATTCAAGTACCAGCTGTACGCGTATATTGGCTGGCTGACCTAGTTGGGTGGTTGTTGGAAAGCGCCCAATGGAATGGGGAGGTGTCACCTCCTAGATGTCACCTGCATTTCATCTGTGAAGGTGGAGCGATTACGTATCTATCTAAATACATGTAGAATATAAACTAAGGCTAAATGCAAATGCTTTCGACAAGGTCTTAAACCGACTTGACCTACAGAAAGTTAATAGATTTGTTCTAGAGTGAAAAGCAGTAGAAACAGGTTGCAGAACACTTACTAATAGATCAATTAATGCTTCTTGAGGCCCCATTTTTTCCAAGTCTCATTAAGCTTACTGATCTTCCATCTGATTTCGACTGATAAATCTAACTGCCGGATGGGAGCCATTATTTTTAAACAAATATTGAGGAAACCGAATGCTATTTTTGTTTGTTTAACTATCCGTAAACGGCTAAACGATGACCCTCACAATATTATACAAAATATGCTTTTGCCAGACATCTAAGCTTAACTTTAAAACTTTTTTTGAAAAAAAACTATGACTAAAAATAAAAAAAACTTTCCAATTCCGTTTGACAATTATTTTGCCCATTGACAGATCATTTTTACATAAGCAAATTTAGATTGTAATCCTCTTGGGGCTCACTAAACGGTGACCAAAATGCTTCGGGCCAAAATGAAACTGCAGCTTGAACTGCATCGGTTAAGCGTTTTATTCAGACGTAACGGCATATAGATTGAACAATACTATTTCTCATTTCTCATTTCACAGTTCACAGTTTTCATTTATTAACTAATTTCGGATTTACGTAATCCCCCAAAGTGGCAGGCCCAGGCCTTAGTGGCGGCCGATTACACGCAACCGCAGTCCGAGGTCAATGCTCAGAGAAATTTCCTTTCAAACACACATAAGATCTGCTTTTCTGTCGACTGAAAAGTGCTTACTTAGTTAACGCTTCATTCGGGGCGGAAGCTTAAGCGATTTCGGGATTAATTTGTAATGCCCTGGAAAGATCGAAAATGAAAATCATGAACAAACACAAACACAAACAGAAACACAAACACAAACAGAAAGGCACTTGAGAAGTTGAAGAGCTTTTCGTAGTTTGTTTTGTGTGTAGTTACCCCAAAATTGGGCACAGCCACAGACACCGCCCCAATTCGTCATCGTCATCATCATTGTGATTGTCTGAGCGTGGTCCACACCTCCATTAGGCCCGAGCCGAGACGGGCTGCATTTTACCACACTTGAAATCGCAATACAATGAATACATCTGCATAATTAATTCCCACCTAACGAAGATGCCGAGCTAATGAGTTGGATGTTTTGCACCAAATTGAAGGCAACAAACACGCACAGGTTGTTGACTTCTACCTCCCATCAAGCGTCTTGGCCTGGGCTCACTTTCAATTTCGATTTCAGCTAGGTTTCATTGTCTTAGGACAATGCTTCTCTCCGCTCGGTTTTGGCCAGTTGGACACACATAAAATCCACATGTTGCGTAGATGTATTTTTAATTATGGCCATTTGAAGACGGTCTCCATTCGATGCATACTCCCCCTAAACGGAGCAGAAGCAACGGAAACCCCGTTAAGTGGAATTTTGATTTGCATGCGAAATGTGCCAAAAATTGCACAAGCTGCGCGCAATAAGCTGATGTGTTTTTAATTATATTTGGAGTGGCCAGCAGCAGCACCCATACCCCAGAAGAGCGACAGATGCCAGATCCAATTTGTAAATGTCATTAAAGGCAGCTGTCCTACCCTGTCCTATCCTGTCCTATCCTGTCCTGTCCTGTTCTGTCCTGTCCTGCATTTCGTGGCAAGTTCAGCTCTGGCACTGGCAACTAAGCCAAGGACGCACACAGATATTGTTATCGGAACATCTCTTAGTCTCTCGTCCATCGTCCATCGTCCATCGTCTCCCGTCTCTCAGCTTTTATCAAAAGGCTTGCCTGCAGTTTCATTAATGTATTGAACACGCACCAATCCCATCGAATCGAATCGGATCGAATTCGATTTAAGTTCCAGTTTCTTTCCCACAATAAAACACTGCTGTTGTGTTGCCAATAAAAGCACCCTGGCAAAAACTGGGTTATAACCTTGAAACCAGACACAAAAGAAACGTTTAAAATGTCCAACTTCTCCATAAATTCAGTCAGCTGCTGCGACACAAAGGGGACTGGACTACACCGCAGCTGAGCCGATCCGAGCCGAAGAAAGCCGCCTTAACGAGACTCTGATCAGGCCCCATCAAAATGTATTCAAATCTATGCTAAGCTCAATGAAAAATGCTAAATGCTGACCGGGATCATTTTGTAATCGCAGAAACAAGCCGAAAGAAACATCCCACCGCAGTGTGAAGTGTTACTAAAGCTGCAGATTGTCGGTCCAGGCCCCAGGTTGTTGCATTTTAAATTGCCAAAGGTCAGGCGTCGGACCATTGGTGCAGTGCAGTGCAGTTCGGTGGTTCGGTGCATTGGTGCATCTCCAGGCAACAGGCGGACCGGACCGAACCGAACCGAACTGTTGATGCTGTGTCGTCATCGTTGTCATCACCGTTGCCCCACCGCCGCCGCCACCACAAAAGCTGTTTGGCAACAACAAACAGAGAAGAAATAAAAACAATTAACTATATAACGAAAATTTGTACAAATTGACAACAGTCCAGTCCCGTCCCGTCCCGGTCTAGCCCGACCCGGTTGCTGGGAGAGTGAAAGAAGAGAGGAAATCGAAAAACTGGATTTGATAATTTTTACGGCCAAACACGCAAGAAAACGAGCCAAGGTCACTGCGAAGAAATTGTGGAATCTTGTGGGGGAAACGTGGCCGCCTTGCCGGTGCCGTTCGAATCAGTCGATAGTTGTGGAGATTGTTGTCGCTGACTCTTGGGCCGATCTGGCAGAACCACTTTGAAGTTATTTGCAATTGCGGCGGATGGAGAAGATGAAGATCTCTTCATTGCTTTGGGCTTGGATTGCGCTGCTGCTGCTGATGATGATGATGATGATGCGACATGTTAAACACGTTTTCCTCACTCTCGATACTCGAATCCGGTTGCTCAAAAATGCGTAAAGTGGGACGATGTCGCTCTTTTACAGGTTGGGCCAAGCCAACCACAGCACCACAAGCCCCACCAGCAACCACAACAACAACAACAACAACAACAACAAATAATATTAAAAGCCTGACAAGTGGTCGGGCAAAATGCCAAAAAAACAAAAAACAAAAAATGCCACATCAATTAACAACCCTCAATAGCAAAATGATTCCAATGACCAGCCTGATGTGGCACTGCGATGGCAGGTGTTGATCGATACAAAAATGCAACTGGGCATCTGGCATCTGGCCCAGTGATCGGATGGGGTTACGTAAGAGGCATCGATAGGTGTGCCCCGACGCGTCGCAACAATCGTTTCGAGATTCTTTTCGCAAGCGAGGCCTAAACTTGAACCATAAGTTGATAGTGCGGGAGCTCTGATTGTACCTCTGTTATCAGCAGCCCACTCGGAAGCATTGGATTGAACTTGAGGTAGCCAAAAAATGGGTTATCAATGTCCAGAGCCCAGAGCTAGAACCATGATAGATCGATCGTTAAATTCTCAGTGAGATTTTTGCCTCAGGTTCAGTATTCCATCGGTCGCAGAACGTGAAGGAAATCACCACCCGCCAGAAAAAGCAAGCAAGACAATGTCGAGGCAAATGTGGTCACTGCTGGCCTTCATCCTGTGTATAGGAGTGGTAAGCCATGATAACAATCAGACAGAACCACAGAATTACTCTTCCTGTACTTTGCAGCTGGAGAGCCTGGCTCTGCTCGACCACGAGACAGAAAGTATTGAGAAGTGCATTAAGAACTACGGAGGCCTTACCTCTGAGACTGCTGAGCGTCTGGAACGGTTCAAGGAGTGGTCGGATGGCTATGAGGAAATACCCTGCTTCACGCAGTGCTACCTCGCCGAGATGTTTGAGTTCTACGACAATCGCACGGGCTTCGATGAGAGCGGCGTTGCGCAGCTCTTTGGACAGCCCGTCTACAACGCCTGTCGCCAGAGATTAGAGCTGGGCGGGGGTCGCACCCAGAGTAGCTGTGAGCATGCCTACGCGGGCTTTCACTGCATCACCAACGTGAGTAGTCGATAAGAGAGATAATGCCCAGTCACCCAGTCACCCAGTCCAGTGAACCCCCGATACTGATACTGATTCTTATCAACATACGCAGCTGGAGGGGCATCCATTCATGCAGATCGAGAGCATGCCCAACATCACGGAGTCTGCCAAGACCGCCATGAAGGATTGCCTGCAGTTGGTGGACCGAGACGAGTGGAGCCGCTTCCAGGCGTATCCCGAGTTCCCCGTAAACGAGCCCATTCCCTGTTTCACGCGCTGCTTCATATCGAAGCTGCATCTGTTTGACGAGCGCACCCGCCGCTGGCAGCTCCCGATAATGCGGCGACACTTGGGTGTCCCAGTGCCTGGCGCCCATGTGTCCGCGTGCCATCAGAGGCGTGGCAGGAATCAGTGTTCCAGCATTTACCAGCAGTTCACGTGCTATGTCATGGCCGCTTAGATCTGCCATCTCTATTATAACTGAACATAATCAATATCTTCTAATACAAGTGACTTTATAGTTACGCTATTAGCTCGTCTCTCTACTTTCCTCCCCGAAATCATTGCCATTGAGACGCTCCCAGCACTTGTATTCCTCGTACATCCAGGAGCACTTGCTGGTGGCTTCCTTCCGCTCTTTATCACTGCGTCGGCACTCGCTGTAGTCTAGTGGCTGTTCCTGCGTCTGATTCTCCATGCGACTGGGGCCAAAGGCTTGCTGCCAGTTGAGGAGACGCCAGTCTCCCGTCGTATCATAGAAACCCATGGCATCAGCGAAGCACTGGAACAGGCATGGAATCGGTTCTTCGGTTTTAAGCTGATTATACTGCAGCAGCTCCACATTGGTGGCATTCAGAGTACGCGCGCAGTGGAGCAGCGTGCTGAGACTGGTTCCGGCGTGCAGTTCCGCCTGCTTCAGGCAGCGGAGTCCGCGATAGGCGAAGCTGCAGCCGTCCCGTGACTTCCGCATCAGCTCGAACCGGCAGTAGTTGTAGACATCGGCGCCCATGTCATCGGTCAATCTCTTGCCCTGCCATTTGTTCTTCACGATATCAAACCAGCCCTTCTCGCTGGCCAGACAACGCATCAGGCAGGGCACCTCCTCACTTGTCCATTCGGGGTAGCGCTCCAGCTTCTGCAGATCGCTGACAATGCGCTCCGGGCTGCTGACTTTCTTCAGACAGTTCTCCAGAATTTTGGCTTCACCCGCAAGATCTGCCAGAACCTGATGGAAACACGGATTAGTACGAGATCTGGGATGGGTTCGGGCCAGTTGAACACACCAGGCTGCTGACGACGAGAACGCCTGTTAGAATAATCCACAAGGAGATCATCTAGATGCCGAGAATGCACAATGTAAACTAAATATGAGATCATGCGCCTATCAGTGCTCGTACCAGGCACCGGAGAGCCGAAGCTGATGCAGTGGAGGTGGAGGTTATCAGCCTGGCGAGATTAAGTCTCATGTGGGTTCAATGAATGACTGCGTAGAGGCACTACAGAGTTGTAGAGATGCACAGAACAGAACCACTAGCCCGCTGGGGCTATCGCCTTGGACTAGGTCAGTTCGGTACCGTTTTTATTTTGGAGTAATTCAAAATACAATGACTGAAAAAATTCTTATATCACATTGGACGACTCAGGCGTAGACCTTGCGGACTACATGCCGGTTGATGGGCAGCCAGCAGGAGAAGACGCGGTTGGCGAATGTGCAAACATCCGACTCTGCCTCATTGTGATCGATGCACTTCTCCAGGCCATGTTGGACCGTGTCCAGATCCTTGGGGGTCTTGACCGTGAACTGTTTAATCATTGCCTTCTCGTCGAAGCCCCTGCTTTCCGAGAACAGACCCATCTTCTCCACAAAGCACTTGACGAAGCAGCTGGTGCGACGATGGGCGGGGAAATCATAGTTCAGGAACTTTTCGTAGATGTCATCCGGCACGTAGTTGTCCTCCCGGCAATCTTCGAAGGCCTTGGCCGCATCGTCGTGCGTTCGCACCTGGAACTTGGCCGATGTCTGCAAAGTAATGGGGGGATAAGGTGTCACGTCCGCCAGCAAGGGCAACCACTGGGCACTGACCTGCGACACGGCAGCAGCAGCTACGGCGACAATCAGCAGGAGAGTGAAAGACTTCATTTCTGGCTCGGACGAGGGCTCGAGAGCAAATGTGGCAAGCGACTAAGTCCGGACGAGATTTTCCATATTAGTTATATACCCAACCGAAGCGAAGGTGGGCTCTAGATATCAGCGGGCGAAGCCAAGACGGGGCAGATTTGTGGACCAGAGTGAATAATAACACGCAAAACCCGTTGCTGGCACATGCCTGGCTCCATGACACTTGGTGCCTGGTGTGGCTGGTGGTGCTGTGGCTGTGGCTTGGTGGTTGGCTCTTGGCGGTACCCTTGCGTCAGTTTGCTCTTAAAAAATAAAGAAACAAAACGGTTAAGTGAAGCAGTCGCAGCAGCAGCAGCAGCAGCCGCAGCAGCAGCCGCAGCGTTGGCAAACAGGTTTGAGCCAGGCTGAAACCGATGCCGACTGCGACTCCGCTGTCAACATCATTGTTGGGCCGCGCTGGGGCTGGATGGTTATATAATCGGGCAACGGTGCGGCCGTATAATGGTTACGTTTTGCTTAAGCCAATTAAACGATTTGTTTTCGTTCCACAAATTCAGTTGGCCTGTGCCACACATATTTCTGCCCCATTCCTGTCTTTGGGAATGGGCTCTGCCATTGTCAGCACTGAAAAATGTGTGTTTGGCATTTTGGTGGCTTGTTTTTAAAATTTATTTCCTCCCTTTTTTTGGGTTGCACCAAATTCTAACACCTCGATGTCAGCTTGCTGCACACTTCCGTATCCCGACACCTGGAAGGCCGGGCCGGGTCGTATTTTTTGCAGCTTTTTGCCCATCTGCCACATGGGGGCGGTGGGAAAATAAAAAAAATTTGTTTGTTTACTGCTTTTTATGTCACGCGGCAACAGCCCCTGAAAATAAATTAAATAAATTATTCAATTGAATTTATTTATTACCGACCAATTTGGTCGCCCAACAGACTTTTGCATTTGTGTAATTAACGGCAGTTCGTGGAATATTGCACAGATTGCACATAGGGCCGCACCCAGAGCACGGTCCCTGGTCCACTCATCCAGACATCCTGCCCACCCGGGTCACATGCTAGCCCTCGGGCAGCGCTCGATTGGTTTGGCTTTTACTTTCGTGGCATGTCAATGACATTGGCGTGGGCTCTTGAACCCATCGAGCAGGGACACTGGGATGTGTTGCATGTTGGCCAAAACAAGAGTAAAGGCTAATGAAGGGCTCAGCCTTGGCCCAAGTTGTTACTTGAGATGTTGAAAGCTTAAGCTGCTACACCCGAGACGTGAAAGCAGTCTGGAAACAGATGTAAATAATCGGCAGCGTATCTACAATGAATAAAATTTTTCAAATACTTGCTGATAAGATAAGAATAAGAATTAATGTTTGAAATTCCATTTGAAATTTCTTGATAAATTTATGATTATTCCATCTTAAGGCTGACCACGGTAGATTCGGCAAAGTGCCGGCACCAGAAAAAACGATGGCCATTTCCATCTCCGGTGAAAAACGGAATGTTTTTGCAGAGAGTGAAAAATGTAAAATAAATACTTGAATTTGAAAACGTCGACACACGGCATTGGCTTCTCAGTTGCATGGGGCCTGCCATTCCCATTCCCATTCCCCATTTCATATTCCCAGTTCCATTCACCGTTTGCCAAACCTCCAACGGATCTCTAACGTGAACGAACGCCATTTTTTGGCTTCGCTTTCGTTTTAACTTTTTCTGCCATAAATTGAGCCAAAGTGCAGCTGCCTGCCGGCATGTATTTATTTAAAAGTGCTAAAATATTTGCAAAACGCTTCACAATTGCATTTATCCCATTCCGAATGGGCATCCATCCCACCCATACCACCCGTTGCGGTATTTTATATTGGCTTAAAAAAATATTGAATATACATACATCAAATGTGCCTAAGCCCATGCACACCCCCTTTCAATAATTGCGTTAATATGCAGGCAGCAAAAAAATGGCAACAATATTTAATTAAATGCCAGGCAGGGCATAATTGATTTTTCAGCATTGCCACGGACCCAGGGCACGAAAAAATAGCAAACCACATGAGCTGGCCAGCTCGGTAATCGAAACTAACTACTAAATGTGCGGTGTGAATGCACACAGTCCAGAAAAACGTATCTCGAACAAACGAAATCAGAGCTGCGGTGTGTTTTGTGTGCAGGATTTACGCAGATTATAATTAGGTCGGTTCCTGATTGAATTTGTTGCCTTTGCGATGTCCAGATAGGATGTACGCTCTTTGACTTTAAAGCATTCAGGAGAGGAGTTGAGCTTCGAGTGCCATCGAGTAAATATCATAGAATTTTATTATTGTTGTCCCAGGGTGTCCTTCAAAAACACAAACAAACTTCTAGGTCAATTAAAAAAAAAATCATAGCAATGACAGGCAGAGAGGGAGAAACGAAAACAAATGACATAAAGTTACAAGCAAAAACTCTGTACGAGGCTTGGAGTACTCGTATTTTTGTATTTTTTAGGTACAACGAAATGTAAATTCAATTGCTAGGCATGTGCATGTAGGCTGTACTCGTATTTCACAGGATATCCGGCAGCATCCATTTTTAGGCATATCGCACGCCTTGACCAACAACAGCAGCAGCAACAGCTGCCTCCAAACTAAACAATAAAATTTCATGGCCTTTGGTTTTTGAAATGCAGCAGCAACAGAACAGCAGCAATAGAGCAGCAGCAGCACCAAGAACAACACTTGCGAGCCGGCACACACTCTTTCAATAACCGAGTGGTTTCCATTTCTTGGCTTCATGCTCTGGCCCGGGCTCTGTCTATAAATCACAAATTGAGCTGCGGTGTCCACTCACTTTACCCTGCCCCGGAGCCTGCCACTGCTTCTGCCTCTGCCACTGGACTGTGCCGGTCCATGTCCCTGTCCCTGTCCCTGTCTGTGGCTCATATATTATGAGCTCATATTAAAACATTTTACACACAATTTCGTTTGCAGTCGCCTGGTGAGCAATGGGCCTGGTCTACCAGCTTCAACTCCAGGCATGAATTATTATGCACCTAGGCGTATACGCAATGTTTAATTTTCAACTCGACTAACGGGTCCGTCTGGCGGTGGAGACGATGGAGACGATGATGGCGACACGCTCCCTGCACACATAAATTCCTAGGGCAGCCGACAAACGACTTGTTCAATTTCCCCATATATATTTACCCCGCTCTGTGTTTGCCCCCCTACCACCCTCAATCCCCTAAGGCCACCACCACTACCACCCGAACAAGACACACTACACAGAAACTGATGCAGGTTCAGGAGCAACTATGGTGCAACTATGTCAGAGCGTAGGAAATATGTGGGGGGAAGGGGAAGGATCTCGAGGAGAAATGACTTTTTCGCCTGGCTCGGTACTGGTACGCCTGGCACTCAGTGCATGCCCAGTGGCTGCTGATGGCGGGCCACGTACACATGTCGAAAACTAACTGCAGCCGCCGCTGCCCAAGGGCAGCCATCGCCATCTCGGCCTGGCCCTACTCATCCCACATCCTCATCAGGAGCGCAAAAATTTCAGCCATTTGTCCTGCATGCTTGCGGCATAAAAATATGCCAGGGCCAGCATTTTCATGCGGGTCATCTACTTGCAGCTCCAGTCCCAGTCCCAGTCCCAGTCCCAGTCCCAGCTTCAACTGAAACTCTAACTCGAACTGCAGCTTCAGTTTTGGGCGTCCCAACGTTTCAAAGTCATGCACCCCAGATCCGTGTGTGTGTTCGTGTGTGGCCTCGGAGAGTTTTGAGCTGTTTTTTTTCTGCTGCAACTTTCCGAGGTATGTTTGGGCTGGGACCCGCAAAAATCATGCAAAAACAGGACCAAAAAAATATAAAACTCTTCCTACTAGTTGGCCAGAAAATAACAAAGGGAGGAAACGTTTACCAAATGGACTCGACTCTGGCTAAAAATGCTGCTGGCACTTTCACAAAACATTTGAAATACAAATAAAAATCTAAAGCATGTGTGGAGGCGAGGAGACAGTCCCAGACAAGTCATTGCTGCTAGAAATCACTTCAAATGCAAAATAAAATTTCATTTTGTTTTAGTTTTCACTCGGCGTACCATTACCCTCCCAACAGCCTCCTAACCTCCCCCCACATCCGTCACCCAGCTCGTCCGCCGCCTGTCTGCAAGTTGGACATGCTTGTTTACGCTTCATCATGTCGTCGTTAGTTGCTGTCCCAACTGCACCTCGTCCCTGGTCCCTGTTCTTTTGGCCTAGTCCCTTGGCCTGTCCAGGCTGCCATGGCTCTGAAGCAATGACACGATGACATTTTAATATGGCCCGTAACTTTTGTTTAGTCTGAGATGCCGCCTTTATTCGGATCTGGCCCAGCTTTGTCAGTCATCGTCATCACGGTTTGGCTTGGGGTAATTTCCTCGGATATTTCCAGCTGACGTTGCCGAATGATTTGTGCGATATGCGACTGACTGGATCGGGACGGGAATGGGGACGGACTAATTCAATTTTATTAAATATTTTTTACGCTTTTCACATTCATTTCCATTTTTCCATTTATTATTTTGCTTTCTTTAGGTAAATTGCTGCCTGATTTGTTATGAATTGAAATCAAAAGGTAATGTAGCGCATAAAATCAGAGTCATACAGACATGAAATACACATATCGCTAGCCAAGCCCGCCATCCCAATCCCAGTACCCCCTCTTTTCTCCCACTATGGCAGCGCAGCACCTTTCGCCTGGCCGCCTGTCTGCGTCCGTTGCACGCTCAATTTTTCATTACTCATGCCTCAATCAATCAGAAAAAATGCGATTTTATTTCATTTTGATGCGTATTACAAGCGTTGATCTGATGTATGTAAGCCTCTATATACTCCTCTACCTTTTTAATTTTATTTCTTCAAGCATTTCTTTACGGTTCGAGTGGTGCGCTGTCGGATTGGGTTTTGTACGGTCCAACATGTGGTGTACTTATTGTATTTTGCATACTACCAAACAAACAATCATCAGCAGACATACTCGTAAGAGTGTGCTGCTATTTGTGTACATATGTACGATATTTGAATTTTATA